AGGGGCGGGGGGCGGCAGCCCAGTACTCACCAGCGCCGGGGCTGTGCATCCAGGGGCCGGGGCCCTCAGAGCCGGGGGCTCATGGCGGGGCGGGGGGCTGGGGCGCCGGCCTCACATCCCCCCAGTCGCCGGCGGCTGCAGAGCGACTGAGAGACGGCGAGAGGAAGGGAGGGGGCCGGGAGGGGGAGGGCCCTGGCAGCCCGGCCGGCCGGGTAGGATGACAATGGAAGGAAATGCTTTATCTGAGTCTGAGAGCGGGCCAAGGGGGAGGGGAGGGAGGGGGCAGGCGCTCGCGGCCCGGGGACACACCACCCCGGCAGACACTGCCCGGCGCGGCGCACGGGCGGCGGGCGGACACACCGCGCGGCCCGGGAGGCAGCGCCGAACCCGGAACGCGGGACGCGGCCCCTACCCGCGCGCGGCCGCCGCGCTGCAGCCCAGCCCCAGGCGCGGCGCGCCGACCCGCGCACAATTCCCGGAAACCCAGATACCTGAGCGCACGCAGCCTTGCATACACAGCGTACACGAGCGCACAGCCCTGTTTACACAGGGCAGAATCATTCGCACAGACACACTTCTGGGAGGGACCCCCGCGCTCGCAAGTGCGTGCACGTACAGCCCACCAGCAAACAGCCGCACACAGAGACAGTGGGACGCTCGTGGACTCCCAAGTCCCGGGCAAGGAATCCCAGACGGACACCACCACCCCCCCCCCCCCCGTCCCCCATACCCCTCCCCAACACGACTTGCCTGAGGAAAGTTCCAGGATCTGATTTGAATCACTGCCCAGCCCTCCCCCTCGCGCCCCCCCGCCCCCCACGCCTGCTGAGGGGAACAGAAGGGTCCAGCCTGTTCCTATTAAAAGAAAAAGGGGTTGGGGGTGGTGCTGATTTTGAAAGTTTTCTTTTTTTAAAGAAATTTCTCAAGGGATTTCCTTCCCTCCTCTCCTCTTCCTCTCTTCCTCCCATTCCTCTCCCCCCACAACCCTCCCCCCTTCTTTCCCCCTCCCGGTCCCTATGAGTCAAACTTCAGCAATGTGCCCAGTGTCTCCCAGTGCATTACAGCGGATCACAGAAATGTTCCAGTCTGTGAGTCGGAATGCAGCCGCCTCCAGCCCTCCCTCAGCTAATAAACTCAGCTCGGGGCCAGCTTTGCGCCCCCCCTTCCCCCTCCCCCTCAACTCTTAACAGGACCAGAAGGTCAGACTGGGGGTCAGGGGCCGAGGACCTCTCCACTGTGCTTCCTGGCCTAGCCTATCCGCCCTGTGGCCTCTGGCAATCTTCTGGGTGGGAGACGGAGCCAATGGCTCTGGGACAGGGAGAGGTCCACCACCCACAACACTAGACTCTCCTGTAGTGTGAGGCTTCACCTCTGGAAGGCAGGATGCAGCTTCCCTCTGACTTCCTACCCATCCTACCTCCCTCTATCCTAGGAACCCCAAGAGTCTCATGACTCTACAGAAGGAGAAACGTCTGTAGAAGAGGCGGCACCATGCCACATAGGAAGCGAGAGTCCCCAGTGGCCCAGGAGGGCCTGGCCATGGCCCGGTCCAACTTCTGACCACAGACCCCTGTTTGCGTGAGCCCAGCCCCAGCCTCAGCACTTGTTGCTACCTGGAGTTTTTAGCAGCTGCCTTCCTGCTTCGGTTGCTTTCCTTGTCTCACGGCTCACTCGGCAGCACATCCAACCTCTCGGCTCATGTTAACTTACCCTCACATACTCCTTGCCTGGCATCCAAGCCCTCCTACAGCATGGCAACACACTGTGCACATTCTGTCTCTCTCTGTCTCTCTCACCCTGCCTCCCTCTCTTCACTTCTGTAAAGAAGTAAAATGAACTTTTTAAAAGTTCGTGTATTTATTTTGAGAGAGAGCACGCGCCTGTGTGTGCACGCGAGGTGGGGTGGAGGCGACAGAGGAAGAGGGAGAAAGAGAATTCCAAGTAGGACCCGAGCTGTCAGCGCAGAGCCCAACTTGAACTCACGGACCGTGAGATAATGACCTGAGCCGGAATCGAGCAAGGGTCGGGTGCTTAAGCGACTGAGCCACCCACCCAGGTGCCCCATCCCTTTCTTCATTTTTTTTCTCGCTATTTTGCCCAGCGCCTCCTGGTACTTAGTAGTCAGTAATGTTAGTTGTTATTTCTCTTATTATTTCAGCTAAACTGGGCTGCTGCCTGCTCCCCATCATGCCCTCGTGCCTTCCTACTCCCTTACTTTGGCCCATCACGTTTCCTCTACAAGTGATGCTCTCCCAGTCCCTTGCTGCTCCTGTTGAAATCTTTCCCATCCTCAAGGTCTCTACCACCATCTCTAGAAGGCTTTCCCGGATTCACGTAGCCAGAGGAATTCTTCTCCTCCTTTAAAGGACCCCACCCCCACACCACCAACAGTCTTGCTCTGTACACTGACCTTCATCTGCATGTCTCAACTCTCTTCCTTCCCAAGAATGTTCAAGAGTGGACATTCCCTGAGCCCAGCTACTGCCTTTAGTCATGGGTGCATTTCTTTTAGTGTCTCGCTAAGTGCCTTGCTCGGAATTCAAGCTCCCTATGAGTTATTTGTTGAATTGAGACAGATGTTCATGACCTTCAAGGACCATCCCCCTAGCCGGACCCCTTTTTTTCCCATGACTGCCATGCTGACTCTGCAAGACACACGTTCTACCTCAGGTGCATTCTTCCCAGCTTTCACCTCCAAACCAGATGACTCTCCTTCCAGATCTCTCCTCGGTGCCCACGGCTTCCAGAAAAATTGCTCAGTTACTTCAGACTCCCAGCCTCTCCCCCCCACCTCACCAACTCTCTCTTTTAGCCCCACCATGCCCCCCACCTTAATGCCCCCGCCAGGACTCCCGTAGTTATTTCTGGACTGAAATCGGGCCCTTGTTTGCTCATTTCTACCATGTGCATCATTCATGTATTTGTTCGTGAGCCTCCTTTTTCTTTTTGACCTAATCACTGAGTTCTCAGAGAGTTGAGCAAAAAGGGTATCTCCCCCTGCCTCTGTCTATCCCCCAAGTGTCCAGCACCTTCCTACACACACCAGGACTCTATGTCCCCAAGGTAGGGCCAGGAAGACAGCATGTGAGACCTGCCTCAGGGAAGCTGGACTGTGTCCCTCCTTCACCGGCCAGCTTACTTCTCACTCCATCGCCACCCTCCCACCCAAGGCAGGATCTTAAGCCAGTTTCTAAGTCACATGCCCCTTGCTAGGATATGTTAGGGAGCCTCCAGGGGTCCTGAGAGACACGAGGCAGAAAAGCGTAAGTTACCACTCTCTCTCTACCGTGGTTGCTATGGGAAGTTTCTCTGCTATGCTCTTGAGTCAGGCCTCTCCCAGGCTGCTCAGCCAAACACCTAGCAGAAGAGATTAGCCCCATAGGACCTGCCTCAGTTCCCTTGAGTCTTCCCAGAGTCTCTGGCCAGTACAAAGCCCGAGGACACACCCCTTCTGCTTCTCTTCGGGCTTCTGGGCCTACATGACCTTCTCTTTCTCCTCTCCTTCCCTTACTTGGCTACCTTTAACTGACTATATTCCATGTAGCAGCCCTATGCTACCCTCTTTGGCAAACATTAGATCATTTATCCTTAATAATCCTTGTTATGCTCATGATTAAAGTATGGCCCACAAAGGTTAAGAAATCTGACCAAAGTTACCCGACTGGTAAGTGATGGGGCCATTCATTCATTCAACAAATATCATTGGGTGCCCCCGTTGTGCCAGGATTCAAAGCTCCAAACAGTCCTCTGGTCTAAACCTCAGGGCTCCGAGACCACTCCTGTCCCAGCCTTCTAGATGCGGTGGCCAAAGCCACGATCCCTCCCTAACCCACACTTCCCACACACCCCCCACAAAGCCAATCAGAAAGTGCTCATTCCCCAAGGCCTCGGTGAAATCTCAGAGGACGGCCATTTCATTGGACTGGGTTGGGCCTTGCATTCCAGTTTCCGAACCTGGGATCAAATGCCAATTCACGGGGTTCGGGATTTGCAGAGTGATGGGGGAGGTAGGTCTCCAACTCCAAAGAAAGGGTTTCAGGGGACCAGATATAACAAGTGGAAGGCAAGAAGGCAGGAAGGACGGGGGGAAGATAATTAGGATTTATTGAGCGTCTCTTTTAGCAGAGTGTGCTATTCAAGGCCCTTTCACTCATACCTCATTATTGCCCACATTGTTGGACTGAGCAAACTTAAGCTCAGAAAGACAAAATGATTTGCCTAAGTCCACAAAGCCAGTAAGTGACTTAATCCTGAATGTCTGATTCAGAGCCTATGCAGTCTCTGTGGCAGGTCAGAACAATGGAGGAGCTACTGCCAGATCCCCTGCCCCAGTGTAAACCTGGTTACCTGAGGACTCAGCTGACCTACGGGGGACATTCTAGATGCTAAACGTACCTCCTCCTGGCCCCAGCCAAGCGGTCCCATGCCTGGTTCCCACTGTCTCTGTTGGTATCGCACAGGCAGGATTAGAGGGGCTACGTAAGTATTCGAGGTAGGATTGGGGGTATGTGGGGCTTTAGGGTGCAGCCAGCCAGACCCCCACGTGGGATTTCCGGATGCGAGAGAAGAGGTGATACATCCTCCTGGGCCAGAATGAGGTGGATAGGTAAGTCAAGAGAGGCTGGGGCATGGTTACAAGCCCAGATGGCTCAGATGATGCTGGGGACTAAGGCAGGTGGAGAGAACTAAGCAAGTCCCTTACCCTGGCCCCTGCCTCCCTCCAGTGTCAACAAAGGTGATGTGGTTTCCCCTGTGGTCTGTTGCCCTAGACACCTGCAGTTCTTAGTATACGTATATGTGTCTATGTGCCAACAGCGACATGGGGGGACATAAGGAGAAAGCGGTGGGACAGGATGGGGAGGGGCAGGAAGCCAAAGACAGGGTCTCCTTAACGCCAAGGTAAAGAAAGCAGAATGAATGCAGAAGATGGCAGAGGTCCCCCCTTGACTACTCTGGGTCCCCAACCGGGAATATCAGGAGAATCAGGGCTCTGGGCTGGAAGTCAGGGGACTTGAGTTCTAGACCCCGTTCTGGCATTCACTTCCTGGGTCACACTTTTCTAAGTGTCAGATTTCTGCTGTGTAAAATAGCAGTATCTTCGCAGGGCTGATTCTGAGAGCAAGTGAAGTACTTATTCAGACATTTGTACCACTGTGAGTTTTAGAATTATTGTCCTGATAGCATAAGAAAGATTACAGTTGCCCCTGGGTACACAACACACACACACACACACACACACACACACACACAC